GGGTCCACGTGGCCCCGGGGGCACAGAGAGCTGACCTGTCCACCTCTCCCCCAGCCCCCGATGAAGCGCCCACCATCGTCTCTGTGACACCCCACACCACCACCTCGGTGCTGATCCGATGGCAGGTACGTCCCGGCATCAGGGAGGGGCTGGGGCCAGGCAGCCCCATGAGGGCCAGAAGGTCACACACACACACACACACACACACACACACACACACTTACCTCCCACTCTCCAGGCCCCCACAGGGCAGGTGCTGGACACCCAGCCTCAGGGAGGACGCAGGTGGCCCCTGTCACAGACACTCACCAGGGGCCCGGTGTCGGATGCTTGGGTGTGCCAGACCCTCGAACAGAAAGGTCTGGGGCTTCTCAGGCCCCCAGAGTCACACGACCTCTCATCAATGACCGGCTTCCTGAAGCACACAGGGGTGCACGCGCCAGCCTGCACCCCAGTGCCTGCCCAGCAGGACTGCAGCCCCGTCACCCTGAGCTGGGCCCCTCGCCCTCTACTCCTCCCCAGTTCTGGGTGGCCGTGTGGTTCTGCCATGGCCCAGAGACCAGGGGACGCATCTTAGAGACCCGACTGCCCACGAGGGGCCCAGGGCCCCCGCTGCAGCCACCCCGACCAGCTTTGGGCTCAGCTGGTCACCCACAGAGGCCCCAAGGCGAGAACTCCTGTCTCCCTTACACAGCGGCAAGCCACCCACGGAAGAGGGGCGCCCCTTCCACACCCCTCCCCCCAGGGGGCTGCCGCTTAGGTGGCGAAAGCCTGAGCCAGGGCCGGGCTGCGGGCTGTGGCAGTTCAGACCTTCCTGGCGAGGGGGCGGGAGGTGCCAGCAGCGGCCAGGGAGCCAGCGAAGGAGCCAGCGAAGGCTGACCTCTCGGCGTCTGTGGAAGCGTGTCTAAAGCGTGTCCTAAAGCGTGTCCCGCCTTCCCAGAAGCCCGTCGGCAGCTCAGCTGAGAGGGCAGAGAGCCACGGGGAAGCCCAGCAGGGAGGGGCGGCCGCAGCCGCTCGGGTCCTCAGCCCCTGTGAGCTGGGAGAGGCCCAGCCGA